GCGCTAGGGAGCTGGGACCCCGCATTCCTGGGAGCGCGGTGAGTGTGGCCCAGGACGGGCGCGCGGCGGGCTCTGGAGCCGACAAGCTTGCGGGGCTCGGGAGGGCTGTAGGCGGCCTGGGCGAGCCCTTCACCAGGTCATCAGAGAGGGTGGTGCGCCTTGGGGGCGCCCCGGGGAAGGGGTGTCAGGAAGGCGGCAGTGGGGCGGCGTGAGGGAGGGATGAGGTAGGCGCCTTGTGTGGGCCAGGAAGCGGCCCAGGAAGTGAAAGGTGTGTGCGGGGCCCGGGAATAGGGCGAGAGGAGTCTGCAAGGGAGAGGCTCGGAGGAATACCTTTTGGGAACTGGGCTGCGGGAGGGGTTGCACCGCCGGATCCCAGGCGAAGGGATGGGAGGTCTGTAGGGTGCAGCAGAAAAGGAGAGTCCCGGAGCTGTCATGGGTTTCTGACTATGTGGCCCAGTGGACCCCAATGGCTTGGGGGTAGTCCATGCAGCGCCCCCACGGAGGGCCGGGGGCTAGGGAAGGGCTGCGATATTGCCTGCAGGCCTCCCCTTTCCCCCTCTCCCCGCCCCTGCACCCCTGACCAATCCTTGGGCCACCGCTGGCAGATCGGCACTCATAGTGACAAAGCTTTGGCACACCTCGAGGTCCGAGACGTAGTACATCTGTGCATCTGAGTTTGGGACTTTAAAAAACTTCCTGTGGTTTGGAAAAAAAAGAAAAAAAAAAAAAGTCCAAACAAGAAACTGGCTTGTTTTGAGAGCAGTATTTGTACTTGGGTATGTCGGAATTGGAGTCTCGGACTGCCTCTCTTTGAAAAAGATATTGGTCTCTTCTCTACCGCTTTCTGCGAAAGTTCGAAGCATTGGGGTAGTTGGGATCGTCTGGGCTGTGTTGACCTTTCTTCTCCCATCCCAAAAACGGGGATAGGCAGGCAGCTTGCTCACCTCTCTTTGGTTCAGAGAACCTTTTGACCCGCAGCTGTCCCCTTCTCTGATTCAGGTATTTCCTCCTCCGGGAGGCTTTCCTGGACTAGTAGAGAAAGCCGAGGACTCCTGCTCTGATACCTGTATACCAGCCACTTTTCCACTCTCTACTAAAATTAGCCATAGAGAATGTTTTGTATTTTCTGCTATAAAAATGTGCAGTCAGCTTGTCATCATAAGTAATGGGGAGAGGAGGAGAGGTATTATGGATAATTTCAAACAATGGACTGGACAAATTATTTATATTTAGCTAAGGAATGCAGCCAGGGAGGCAGACATTCACAGGGCTTCCTACCCTCCGCCTGGTTCTGGTGTGGCTGATGCAGCTGGGCTGTGGGTTGGGGGTGAGGGAGGGAAGAAGATAGGGGTGGATAAAACTTGAAGGGCAGTTCAGTTCTGCACTCACTCACTGAAGACCTGCTGTGTGCAAGGCCCTGAATAGCTGAGAGGACCAGAATGGCGTGGGATTATTTTTTGGTCTGAATTAATCAGATTTTAATCTTCTTTAAATCTATGAACTGATATTTAATATTAATAACAATAACTAGTGTTTATAAAATAATTTATAGTTGGCCAAGTGCTTTCTCTGCACATTATCTGCATAGAATTTTATTTGATTCACATATAACCTTGTAAAGTATGTTTTTAATTGCCTTCTTATAGGTTGGGAAAATGAAGCTCAGAGAGAATAAATTACTTCTCTGAAGTCACAGAACTCATTAAGAGGAAGAAGCAGAACTTGAACTTGTGGCCTCTGACTCCTCACGCTTTTCCTATTACGCTTTGTTGCCACTTGCCATTTTTCTCTATTGAGCCTGAGGACCTTAGCCTTAACACCACCCCTGTGTGCAACACTGAGCAAATTACCTCCCCTTTCCAACTTTAAAGGGTTATTGGATGAAAATATTTCTAGAACTCTTTCAGCATCAGATAATTAGCAGTTTAAGATCATATTGGCAGCCAATTAATCAATAAGTGTGCTTTATTTTTAAAAAATGTTTAATTGTGGTAAAAAACCATAAAATTTACCATTTTAACTATTTTTAAATGTACAGTTCACATTGTGCAACAGATCTCCAGAATTTTTTCATCTGCACAACGGAAACTATACACCCATTAAACAGTATCTTCCCATTTCTTCCTCCCCGAGCCCTTGACAACCTCCATTCTACTTAGTGTGCTTTATTAAGCTCCTACTCTGTGCTTAATAAATATTATCTTTGAGGCATTAGTAAGGAGAAGCAGCTCAGCTTACGTGGGAAGCCTCTGGGCCAGGGGTAGCTGGCCCGAGTGCTGTTCCTCATCCCTGGGTCTCTAACTCCAGCGCTGGCTGGTATTGTTAAGTGAATGAGTGAGTGAGTGAGGCCTTGGAAGTGCCTTCACCTCTTTTAGCCTTAGCTTCCTGCTTGCAAAATGTGGATAACGGTACCGGGCTCTTAGGTCTGTTGGAGGAGCATTGAGATAATGAATGTGAAGCATGGAGCTTAGGGCCTCATACGTAGCAGGTGTGCAGTGAATGGTGGCTGTTATTTATACTCTAGCTGAGGACACTAGATTAATACGCTCAGAACAATAGAAGACAAGACTTCTTTTTCGTCTACCATTAAGGCTCAGGCTATCGTCCCCACTGACTAAGGAAATGGCTCTAATCCAAATGCTTTAGCCTGGCACTTGACATCCTTCTTATCTATTCCCAGCCTACCAGTCTAGCCTTATCTCCCACTTTTCTCCCCTCGAGGAACCCTCGGTTCTAGCCAGACTGATCTTCCAAGAGTGCTTTGCTCACTCCTTTGTCCCTTAGTTCATATTGTTCCACTTCCTGGAATGCTCTTCCCCAGTCCTCCCTTACCCTCTTTTAAGACCCTACTCATGTCTGAGCTCTTTCATGGAACCACCCATCCTAAAAGAACCTCTTTTTCCTTGAAACTCCTCTACCATTTTTTGTCTTCATCTCTCCTGGCTTTTATATACTGCCTGGGAGTGATTCTTTAGAGAATTTGATGAACACTTAGTGTGTGTGTGTGTCATAGTACAAGAATCTGTGCTAAGTTCTGATGATGCAAAAATGAAAAAGGTAAAGGGCCTTGTCTTCATGGGGCTTATAATGCAGTAAAGGGTTAAGAAAGGGGTTAAAAAAAAGACAGTTCAAAGTATTAGGTGAGTGGCCTGTGAGAGGAAAATGTTATGTGAGTTCAAACAGAAGGATAAATTACCCTGATTGTGGAGTAATGCTTCATTCATCAGGTGGTGTCTGACTCGGACATTTCAACAGAAGGGAGGAGGGACCAGCCTGAGGAGGGGCACCGAGAAAGTGTTGGGGTATGTGAATAGCTTAGATGGCCAGTGAGTGGGTTGTGTGGAGGGAAGCAGAGAGAGAAAAGGCTGGACAGGGAGACATTGGCTATATTGGGGGTGGCTTCAAATGTCCAGCCAAGGAATTTCATCCACCCATTCATTCATTCATTCATTCAAGAGAAATTAAGTACCTACTGTGTGCAGATACAGAGCTGGTGCTGGGGAGACAGCAGTCAACCTTGGGAGGCCCTGGGAACTGGCAGGTTTTTGAGTAGGAGTTGCAGAAGCCAGGCTAGGCTTCAGAAGGGTGATTCAGGGATCTGTGAAGAGGGGAAATCATGGTGGGCAGAATGGCTGGGCAGCTGTGAGGAATGGAGAGGAGGGACTGAATCTGAGACATTTAGAAGGTAGGATTGAGACCATTTGATTGGCTGGGGGTGGTAAGGAAAAGATACAGAGGGATTGAAGTAGATTCTGAGCTGGGTCATTCTGGAGATGCACTGCTGTTTGCTGTTTCCAGTGGGTATCATAGTTTCTCTAACTAGACTGTAAGCCCTTTCGGGGCATAGATTCTAATTGTCTTTTTGTTCTCCTTGGCCCAGTATTCATTACCTAGAAGCACAGTGTGGACTCTTGATGTTCTCAAGAAGTGAGTCTCGTCATGGGGATGTAATATATAGCATGGTGACTTAGTTAATAAGACTGTTTTGTATATTTGAAAGTTGCTAAGAGTAGATCTTAAAAGTTCTCACAAGAAAAAATTTTGTAATTATGCATGTATATTGATAGATGTTAACTAGCTTGTGTGGCAGTAGTTTCACAATATATACAAATAATCATTATTTGTACACCCGAAATTAATATAATGTTATATGTAAATTATATCTTAATAAAAATATGGATCCATTTTGCCATCTGGAAAAATAAAGAATATTGCACCTTTTAGAATCCCAAATTTGCATCCACAGTGGTTTTTGTACATGGGCCTGGCTTTCTCCAGAGTCATGTTTCTGCAGAGAGCCAAATGTTTCCTGTGTATATCTTTACACCCCAAGTTAACTAGTCTTTCAACTTCTGCTACAATTTTATCTTTCACTTGATGGCCAATTTCCACCAAGTTTTTATTGCTTCACAACAGTAACCTCCTCCCTTCTGTTGATGTGGCAGAGAGGAAAACAATAAAGTGGCCTGTCCCTTTACATCAGCCTCCTAGAGTATGTGAATCAAACTCATGTCTCAGTAAAGTTACACACTTTTACATATCTTGAAACATCGAGTCACTTGTGAGTGGTCAGAATGATAAATGGATGCCAGGGGTCTACTCCAAGCCTAGGAGTAGATAAATATGTGATTCAGATACTGTTACTTCAATAACTACCCATGGCAGACATCGCTAATCG